ATGATTTTTAGTTGATTCCATTACTAAATTATAGTGCCACCTTTGTTCCAATTGTATCAATCCGCAATCTTCAAATATATTTTGGATGACAAAATCAATAAAGTTATCATACTTTTTCCAATAATTGGTTGTTTTTTTATTACAATTTTTCTAGGTCCATTATTCAAAAAAATCAATTATTTAATTCATAATATACTATAATTGAATTCCATCTTAAAATAATTTTAGATAAATTGGATTGATCATGGTTTAATTATATTAGATTTGATTTATTTATGTTAGCACTATGATTGTTTATATATACACAACGATTCTAAGCTAAAGCCACAAGACTTATTTTAATTCTAAAAACATTACCAATGGAAATGTTCTTGGTAATTAATATTTGATATTATTGAAAAAAATCGTTAGTAATTAATATCATAACTTATAAATAAAATAAGTTAATATTCACCAATATCCGTTGATAAACTTTAATAGATGTTATATTTAATAATTTTTTACTAAAAATTTTGTTGATATATTTATCGATAATTATTAATAAATATATAAAATTTGTTGATAAAAGTTAAAAAAATTGTGAGTACCAACATAAAATTTGATGATAATTTGTATATATCTCAAAATTTTAACATTAGTGACGAATTTAATCTATTGAAAATATCTTTTTTCTTGTAATACCTAACATTTTCTTAATTGTATATTTGGTTTTACGTTAGGAAAGAAATTTAATTGATGAATGAAAAGTTTGTAATATTAACTTTTCTCCCAAACAAGTAACACTTTATGATTTTAATAAAATTATGTGATGGATGTACTTATCTCTTAAGAGAATGTAATGGACTATAAGATGAAATTATGTGAAAAATAATAACTATTAAGCATGTTTTAGTCATGCTTCTTATAATATAAATTAATATATTGAGTGATAAAAAGTGAAGGTATATAAATAAGGGTGAAGTGAAATTAATTAAATTTATATAAGTGTTTTACTACTAAAAAAATCATGGGAATATTTTTGTATTTGCAAACTTTTTACAAAAATTCGTAAGAAATAAGTTTTTTTTATAATATTCTTTATAAATCTAATTTGCACGTAATATCTTTCAGGTCATTAGTTACCAAGATATAAAATTCGGAAAAAAATAAATCTATAAAATTTTCTATCTCATAATTTTTTTTCCCAAGAAGCATGGTATAAAAAATTTATTGATTTATTTTTGCAAAGAAATTCAACCATCCCACTAACATTCCCAAAGTGATGTCCAACAACAATGATTAGAATCGCGTGGTTTCCTACGTGATTATGTATTTTATTTACATCATAATGGACATTTAGTTTAAAGATAAGTAAAGATATCTAATCATGTTGTTATTAAAAGCAATTTTGGAACAGTATGCAATGAAACATAAGACCATCTTTAAGACATTCTTAAATTCATGAATGTTATCTTTTTTAACACCTTTAATGGCGTAGATAAACTACTAAATTCATGAAGCACAGTGTTTTGTTGCGTATTTTAAAAATATTATTGAATATATTTTTATTTATAAAAAATGTTGTATTAAATAACTTCTATTCCTGCCAATTTTTTTTTAAATCTAATTATAATTAATACAATTGCAAAAATTTTTGCAAAATTTACAGTAATTTTTGTGTTTTTATTTATAGAAAAAATATAACTACTTTTTGTAGGAAAAGTTATAGAAAATTAATAATTTTCTAGTAGTGTTGTTTGAATTTGAACTTAATACTATATTATAGAATTTATTAAGTATCAATGGTGTTTAATTTATTTTTTTATGTATTCAGTGATACAATGAATGTGGTTGGCTTAATCATGATAAACAAATAATAGAGTTTATATAATTTATTTTTATATTGTTAATTTACTTTTTTGTTTATATTTATCCTTGAAATATGACGTATTGAGAATATTTAAAAGTATATTATAATATTTTATTTTAAATAGGTATAAGAAGGTATCTAATTTTTTTATTTAAATTTATTTTTTACTCACATATTTTTTAGATACTTTTGAAATACCAAAAGGCCCAAATTTAAAATTCTTTTATATTTAATTTGTTTTTTTTATGAAATAAAACTTAAATAATTCCAAATAGTATCTAAAAAATTATACTTTTGTCTGATAGTGATTAAGGACATTATTGTGTGTATATATATATATATATATATATATATATATATATATATATATATAAAGAGAATGGGTGATATATTCGCATAATAACGGTATTGAGCTTGTTGAAGTGGTAGTGTTCTCTTTGGATAAACTATACGTAACAAAAAATAGGTATAGAGAGAAGGATAATTAAATTAACATTTTGATAGAAATTTAACAATATTATATTAATACTTGTTATTAAAATCTATTATATATATATATTGACTTAAACTTTTATGTTGTTAATTATAAATTAATGAAATATATATATATATATATATATATATATTTATTTTCAATATATATTTTAAAAAAATTGAAACAGACAAAATCTATATCACACCAAGTATTTTCTATAAATTCCTACGATGTTAGTTATAAATAAATGAGAAATACGTGTATATGTTATATTTTAATATATTGTACCTATATTTTAGAGGATTGAAAACTCTTATTTTCGTAATCTTTCCACAAAATTTTTCATTCTTTGTATATAATATATAATGGTAGATCTTTACCATTCATTTTAAAATATCAAATAATATATTATTAATAAAATAATAAATAAATATAAAAAAAGATGAAAACATGAAAAAATAAAATTATAGATATATATTTAAATATATTAAATAATTATTAAATTTGAAAAGGATAAATTAATAAATTATAAATATATAAGTAACTAACCAATATAAAAAATAAAAAAGTGATATTTTGACTTCAACATATCGCTATCGTAGGGTGTTATCTGATTGGACTTTGGAATATTCCCAATGTTGAATATGGTTTTGAGAAAATTCAGGGTTTTTCTTCCCTATGGGGTTTTGCCTGAAATATGAGTTTTCTTTCATTTTAGGAAAGGGTAAGAAGTAATATAAAAAAGATGAGAAAAATGTGAAACAAACTCACAAATGCTGCGTACACTACTGCATTTTGATATTTCTATATTTCATAATCTGAAAAATACAATTATTTATGGTTTTGATTCATTTTTCCCAACACTTCAACCTTTCAGCAAGGGTTTTTCAAGCGCAATAAATTATCAGGGACCAACTTTTCTGACCCATACTTTAAAGTGTACCAATACAAAATATGACTTTAAAAGTTTAAATCCGCATTGGCTTTATTAATTTCGATTTTACTCTTTTTCCTCCTCCTCTTACTTCCTGTTTATTATGATTTATTCCTCTTAAAGTCAACACAAATATTTAAACGTAATTATTGTTATTTTATTAATTTAAATATATTTTCAAAATAATTAATATTTATTGGAAATAAACCAATAAAATAAACAAAAGTTGAAATATATGATGATAACCTGTAAGAAAAAGAATAACACTTTAGTATGAAAGTTTACAAAATATGATAATTAAGTGATAAAAATCAATGTAAAATTTGAATATAGTTTTATATACGTCGAATGACCTCATGTTTGTTCGTGATGATTGTTAAGTGAATAGTTTTGTGTATTTTTATTTTATTTACTTTGCTTTCATGAAAGAATATGCCTGGAATTTGGAATCGGGGTCAACCCAGGAACGTGGACCACGACGTTAGACTTACAATTTTCTAATTCTAATATTGGGCTGGGCCCACCACTGAAAACTAAAAGCCATGTCCAAAGTGTTGCGTTGCAACAAAAGAAGTTACGTGACTTCTCCACCAAATCAAACTTATTACTAAACTAGTACAGAAGACGCCTATGCACGAAAGGAATCCAAATTTGTTACTACACCTAATTTCAAATTTTTTAATACATGAATGCACAGAACAAATATTTATTTTATATAATTAAAAAATCTCTACCTCTCTCAACTATATATGAACTAGAAAAAGTAATTGTTGTATTTATTAAGGTATTTTTCGCAATGTTTTTTCTAGACATTTTTTATTTGTTGCTTTCTTTTAACCTACCTTTTTAATATTTTTAATTCTAACTTAAATTTTAATAAATTTAAATCCTGTTATTGAGTCCATAACTTTACATTTTTTATTTTCTGTTTCCATCACTCTTATTTTGTTGTTCCATTGAAATGAATTTTAGAGATTAAATTATAGATTAAAAGTATTATATAAATTTTGGTATTGTATTAAAATAATAACATTGCTTCCACTTTTTCCATCATCCGGTAAAAAAAAATATAAATATAATATTATTCGGTCAATAAATTATATCCCGTACCACTGCAATTTTGACTTCGTGGCCCATTCATAGATTTGTGTGAAAATGAACATTCCACGAAAGCCCGCACCAAAACTGCGCCCTACGATTCTCAATTATTGATTATTTTATTAATTATTTGATTTATAGTAGTAAAATAAAACGGCTGTTGGGATCTACGTTTTTTCTCTATTAATTAGACTTGTAAATAATTTGATTGAGTATATAGTTGTTAAAATTAATGAATTGATATTATGCCTGATCTTTAATATATAATATATACAAATTGCGCTAAAAAAAAGGAGAAAAATATATATAAGCGGTCAAGAAGATTTATCGAGGAAGGTTCCAGATGAAACCCCAGGAATAGAGCAAAGTAGGAGATTAATTTTGGGCTAATAACAGCACGAAGCAAACCAGAAATAGTGCTGAATAAGCAAGCATCTAACGTGGCAATAGCGACAGGGGCTGACCAATAAGAAAATGCCACGTCATCGTTGGAACATTTCAATTCCAATTTTCAGTTATATGATGCGATTTTTTTTATGTATGTTTTAAATGTATCGTACTCTCGCACGATCGTACCACGAAATTTCGTCTGACATACTGTAATTAACACAAGTAAAACTAAACCACTAGGCATAAGCCACGCACTAAACGAGAGTGAAGAGCAGGGCCACGAGTTCCATTAGGTAGCTTACTGGGCAAGCACATTCTACGATGCGTGAGCCATTCAATAGTTGAAACCCTTTCCCTTTCCCTTTCCAACTTTTCTTTTTTTCTTCACTTTCAGTTCTCACGAGAAACCAACGCCCCTTCCTCTCGGCCTAGAGCCCAACAACCCCGAGTTTTCTCCACACTCTAACGAACACTCACACAACACGCGCCTGTCAGTTTTCCACTACCTTCGGGATCTCATACTTCGTTTTCCCTTTCATTAAACGCCTTCGTTTTGCTTCTGTTTCCCCGCTAAGAAGTTGATACTCTCGCGATTAGGGTTTCTTATTTGAACGATTGGATTGCTGCATCGAAATTTCCATTGACTTTATCCAGATTTTCTTAATTCGTTTATGAATTGACGGGAGAAACAATTTTTTTACACGGAAATTGTTTTCTCCGGGTTTATTCTGAACGGATCTGAATGGGTAAGGGGGGAGAAGATTATGGGAAACGAGAGAACACGAGTTCCGAACCTTCGGATCGTGAAATCTTCAAGGCTTGGGCCAAGGATGTGCGGGAGTGCGAGGAACACTTCAAGGTGAATGTGAAAGTGGGTTTGAATCACGAAGAGGTAGAGAATCGGCGAAAGATCTATGGATTGAACGAGTTGGAGAAGCACGACGGGCAATCGATATGGAGTCTGATTCTGGAGCAGTTCAATGACACGCTGGTTCGGATTCTCCTCGCTGCCGCCATAATTTCCTTCGTGCTCGCTTGGTACGACGGCGACGAAGGCGGTGAGATGGAGATAACGGCCTTCGTCGAGCCTCTGGTGATATTCCTGATACTGATTGTGAACGCGATTGTTGGCGTTTGGCAGGAAAGCAATGCCGAGAAGGCTCTCGATGCGCTGAAAGAGATTCAATCGGAGCACGCGGTGGTTATTCGAGAGGGTACCAAAATCCCTAGTTTGCCGGCGAAGGATCTCGTCCCTGGTGACATCGTGGAGCTTAAGGTTGGGGACAAGGTGCCTGCAGATATGCGCGTTGTGGAATTGGTCAGTTCCACTTTGCGGTTGGAGCAGGGTTCTTTGACTGGAGAAAGTGAAGCGGTGAATAAGACTAACAAGCGTGTGGAGGAGGATGCTGATATCCAGGGGAAGAGATGTATGGTTTTTGCGGGGACCACTGTTGTTAACGGGAATTGCCTTTGCTTGGTCACCCACACTGGCATGGATACGGAAATTGGGAAGGTGCATACCCAGATACATGTGGCGTCGCAGAGTGAAGAAGATACCCCATTGAAGAAGAAGCTCAACGAGTTTGGAGAGAATCTAACCATGATAATTGGACTTATATGCATCTTGGTTTGGCTCATCAATGTTAAGTACTTCCTTTCTTGGGAGTACGTGGATGGATGGCCCAGGAACTTCAAGTTTTCGTTTGAAAAGTGTACCTATTACTTTGAGATTGCTGTGGCGCTGGCTGTGGCTGCTATTCCAGAAGGTTTGCCGGCTGTCATCACCACTTGCCTGGCTCTAGGTACTCGCAAGATGGCCCAGAAAAATGCCCTGGTTCGGAAACTACCGAGCGTGGAGACTTTGGGTTGTACCACTGTGATTTGTTCGGATAAAACTGGCACACTGACTACCAACCAAATGGCTGTGGCTAAATTAGTGGCAATTGGCCATAATGTGGACACACTAAGAGCCTTCAAAGTGGAAGGAACTACGTACAATCCAGCTGATGGTCAAATAGAGAACTGGCCTACTGGTGGACTGGATGCTAATCTTCAGATGATAGCGAAAATAGCTGCTATCTGTAATGATGCTGGAGTCGCACAGTCAGAGCTGAAGTTTGTTGCCCATGGAATGCCTACTGAAGCAGCTTTAAAGGTAAAACCCCATTTTTATTTGATTTTGGCATATTTCTCATTTACTGTTTGCAATTTTCCGCAGGAAGCATAGCGTGAGCAGTGTCAAGTTATCTAATACTTTTTTTTTTTAATTATCTCTTAGTTGTTTTGTGCTAAGCGTGTGAACGCATTGACCTGCAAAGGTGTTTGACAGTTTTTTATACTCTCTATTGGGATTCCAGGTTTTGGTAGAGAAGATGGGCCATCCTGACGGATCCAAGGATATGCGGTCGGCAAGCACAAGTACCTTGCTGCGTAAGTTCATTTTGGTTATTGACAGAATAATTTGTAGTGGAATTTGCAAAGGCATGTAGTTTCATGACTCGTCTGACTGTACCGGATCCACTTTCTAAAGGCTTAAAGATATTTGTAAAGTATTTTAAAAAATCAACAGGCTACTTCCTGTTATGTAATCTTAAGTTTTTTTGTGTGTTTATTTGAGTTAATGTTTTCAGAATTTGTCGGAAAGAATAGATATATGAGATCAACAAGTATGATTGCTTTGTAATATGAATTAGTATTGAAATTCAATAGATATATTAAGTTTCTTTACCTTTGAATATCAATATAGGTTGTTGTGAATGGTGGAATGAGCATGACCGGCGACTTGCTACCCTTGAGTTTGACCGTGATAGGAAGTCAATGGGTGTTATTGTGGACTCTGGCTTAGGGAAAAGGTCGCTTCTGGTTAAGGTATTCTCTCGTTTTATATCTTTTTTTGTACTTGGGACATTTCATTAAGATTCTCAGTTTTTCATAATATGTCCTTGTAATCGCAGAATTAATATTTATTTGCTGTGTGGAAATATTGGTTAAGGCATAGAATTCTTTTTATCATGTGGTTTACTCATTACCATAAAGTAAATTAAAGTCAACATATTTATTTTTGAAACTAAATCTTCTTAGATCTTAAATTTGAGTATGGTCTTTTTTTCTTCCCCAGAAATAAGGCTATCTACACCGATACTAAAGCTGAAAATGATTTATGGTGTTACCATTTAATTACTAATAACTTTTTAAAAATTATAGTGTGTAACTAATATGTAATATCCCAACTCCTCAAAATGCAGGCGTGTTTTGGAAACTTAGTCTAAACAAACAGGAACTAAACATGTAGAGACAAAACTGGTCTCCTACAATGTTTAGTACCAGTTATTTACAAGTACAACAGAGTGCTGTTGAATGAATAACCGTTTTCCAAATTAAATCCGATTACAAAGGTGTGCTTACATATGTGACCTGATCATTCTTCTTATTCACCTTTGTAGAAGTTTGGACAGTTTCTGTTGCTCAATTCACACATTACCCTATGCATGCTTTCATTCTCTCTGTTTCTGGTTTCCTTTTTCCTCACCACCACGAAATCCTTATAACTGGCATTTGTCCCTAATATTTGGCAGGGTGCTGTAGAAAACGTGTTGGACAGAAGCTCTAAAATTCAGTTGCGAGATGGTTCTGTAGTGGACCTAGATGATAATGCTAGGAACCTTGTATTGCAAGCTCTTCATGAAATGTCAACGAGTGCATTGCGTTGTTTGGGATTTGCGTACAAAGATGAGCTCCCCAAATTTGAAAACTACAGTGGTAATGACGATCATCCAGCTCACCAGCTCTTGCTGAATCCTTCCAATTATTCATCAATTGAAAGTGAACTTATTTTTGTTGGTTTGGTTGGATTGAGGGTAAGTATTGAGCTTTTCGTTTTACATATCATGCTTTCTCATTTTCATCATATATGGTTAATGTGGTAACTTTGTGAAATTGAATATTGGTTTGTGCATAGGATCCCCCTAGGGAGGAAGTATACCAAGCAATTGAAGACTGCAGAGAGGCTGGAATTCGTGTTATGGTTATAACCGGAGACAACAAGAACACTGCTGAGGCTATATGCCGTGAAATAGGTGTATTTTCCCCTGATGAAGACATCACTTCTAAAAGTTTAACAGGTAGGGATTTTATGGAACTGAGCAATAAAAAGGACTATTTGAGTCAGAGTGGCGGGCTTTTGTTTTCAAGGGCTGAACCTAGGCACAAGCAAGAAATTGTCAGGCTGCTCAAAGAGCAAGGGGAAGTGGTGGCCATGACTGGGGATGGTGTTAATGACGCACCTGCCTTGAAGCTTGCAGACATTGGTGTTGCAATGGGCATTGCAGGGACAGAGGTATTTTTTTAAACTGTAATTACATTGTGGTTTCTGATACATGACTAACAAGTGAACATTAGTGATTGATGTGGTTTTCTAAGTGGGGGTAATCTTGAAAATGATTGTTTTGAGTTGATGTAGGGTTTTGATGCAAATCCGAAGTGTTGGATGTTGTCTCACTGATGATTGCAATTAGTTAGATTAAGGAACGCTTAATATCGTTTAGCTTTTGGCAACTCATCGCTTTTATCTTGTGCTAATACAATGTAGGTGGCAAAGGAAGCTTCAGATATGGTGTTGGCAGATGATAATTTTAGTTCAATAGTTGCTGCTGTTGGTGAGGGTAGATCTATCTACAATAATATGAAGGCTTTCATCAGGTGATTCTGATTGTCTTTAAATAAGTTTTGCATGCATGAAGGGATGTATTTGTTTACTTTGCAATAGGATGTTTCTCTATTGTTGGGCTGTGAGTTGTTGATTGGTAATGGGCATATAAGATCTAATTTAATGATTGGTTGTCCACAATTCCATTTCCATGTAACACTAGTGCAAATATAGGAGAACTTGCTACATTACTTTCTCTTTCAGTCTTCCCTTAGTTTATGGCTTGAAAGAAAGGGGGGGAAATGCCTTCGACACATTGAGTTTTTTTTTTTTTTACACACTTTTACAGTTAGATTTCTAATAAGGATATGTGATAAACATGGTATGAACTTTATCCTTTGAATATTAAGTAAACAAAATGACAAAATAAGCAAAGATAGAATTGCGAATTGTATATCACAAATGATACATTTTTTCAAGTTAATATTATCTTGTAAGTTGTAACTGGAATTAATTTTGCAGGTATATGATCTCTTCCAATATTGGTGAGGTTGCTTCTATATTTTTAACAGCTGCACTAGGTATTCCTGAAGGATTGATACCAGTCCAGCTTCTGTGGGTCAATCTTGTCACTGATGGCCCCCCTGCAACAGCTCTAGGATTTAATCCTCCAGATAAGGATATAATGAAGAAGCCTCCTCGTCACAGTGATGACTCATTAATTAATTTGTGGATTTTATTCCGCTATCTGGTAATTTGCCTTCTTTTTTTTTTTCCTTTCTGATGCACACATTTATCTGTTGTTGGGCGTTTTTGTGATGATAATTAATGTGGATTACTTACCTCTAATATTCTCCTCGGTGTTATGTATTCACAGGTTATTGGGATTTATGT